AATTTTTTTTTAAGTTGTGCATAAAAATAAGTGAGCATTCTGCTTAATCGATCATTAAACTGTTCAAAATTCCCCATTTTAAATCTGTCACCAAACCACTACAGCCAGTGGCAAAACGACAAAAACCTTTCAAACAAACGTGGTATCAAAAGTGTGGCACTTTGAGAATACATCAATATTAAGTGTCAATGGCCCGTTACCCAGTTGACAAAATAGTTAAACACTTATGAATATTAAAATGACAAGTTTAAGCAGGGCAAATAATTCTTTGTCCTCTCAAGGGGGTTATTTTGAAAATATGCAATTATGTTTAAAAAAAAATACACAACTTTTTAATCACTTTTTATTGAAGTGAAATGTAACCCTAATTATAGAATCACCCTTATCCTTTTAAATCACTACCTAACAGCTGTGTATGAATAAAAGTTAACAATGACATTCTAGCCCAAAATCAGTCAGTAAGTAGTCTTATTAAATCCATTTAAAAAGGCCCAACAATAGTATCTGAATGACACATCCAGCTATGAGATGTACATGAGATCCAGCTAGTTTCAGTATCTGCAGATATAAGATGATGGAATGACTATATCCCTAGTAAATATTGATACATTCTGATAATGCATCAAGAATGCACTAAAATGTGTCTGTAAATGTCTGGAGGAGGTTCAAGTCTAGCACAAAATATGAATGGACCATAAAAAAAACAACCGAAGGTAGTGTAATCTCCCAAACAAGACTATAAAGGGAGTTTTCTGCAGACGTTTAGACAATGTTTAATAGTTTATAATAGGCATTCCACTTGACATTGTAATTTTGCAATATTATCCGTTTTGATACATAGCTCCCACCTCTTGCCTCAAGCCAAGTACTCCTCCCATCCCTTTTCTACTGTGGATATTAGTTCCCTTTCTCATGGAGTGAATGAGCAAGTCCATGAGTCATCTATTGGAATTACCTCTATAAATTGCAGACAGGAAGCCATAGAGCATGCTGTGTGGTCATATTCATATTATAACTCAAGTCAGCTGTCACTTCTGATCTGAACAAACACCTTATAAGGTCCTGTATTACAGAAAATTTAATCTTGTGAGCTTTAAGCCATGTCGTTACCTCCCCAAAACATACGTGGATTTGTGTTTTGTTTCATTCACATTCCAAGCAATTCTACATCCCCAAATCTTAAAATACTGCTACACCTTCTGATGTCATGAAAAGGTGGATTAAGTTAACAGCTATCTTTTTTCAGAGACTGCAGGGCTGAAATTATCCAAATGATTTTAGTGATGGTGTATGGAGTCAACAGTGGAGCACTTCCTGTATTACCACATGAAAGGTGGAACAGAGTTTTCCATTTGAGAGAAGAACTCAGCCTAAATATGCAGGGTTTGTGCATTAAACGTGTGAATGAAACAAAACTCTAGGTATGTTTGTGATAAGGAAACATTAGAACACATCAGAAAATGGCGTAATATGCGGTGCAACTACCAAGAGACCACAAACATTGACAACAACAGCACAGAAAAACTGGAAATCTACCAATGACCCCCATTGAGGATAAAAGCAGCTTCTTACATGGAACCACCCACAGCCACTGTTTAAAACGCTGCACTGGAGCCAAAATAGACTACTTCATGACCCTCCAACAATTTAAGAAAAAAAAAAAAATCCCAGTTTCAAACAAAAGCTTTTGTTCCTGCTAGTCAAAACAAATGAAAACTGCAAGAAATTGAGCTGTGTAGAGCAAATATGGGCGGGCAATGTTGACAAATGAATTTAAATGTCTCTCTATGACCGATGCTGATTGTTTAGAATCCAGAGAAACCAATGGCCGATGAGCTCTGCTGATAATTTTGGGCCGATATGTAGGGCAAATTTTCCCCCAAATAATCTCATTTATAAAAAAACAAGGTCATGGATGAGTTTGCACTAAAATCAAACAGGATACAAGATCAGTGTAATCACTTTTTTTGCACTACCTTCTTTGGACAAAAGTGTTTGAATAAAGCTTTAGGAGTGTTCTTTATGCATATTTCATTAGCCAAACCAAATATCTTCTAGAGATTTAAATACACTAAAAATAACAGCAAATAACAGCCAATCGATAGTCCCTCTAAAATTAATAGGGTGAAATTACATTGTTTGGGAGATTACACTAGACATTTGTCACTTCTTGAAGTACTTGTCAAGTTTTAAATGGACTGGACTAGATTAATATTTTGCATACATCCGAACACAATTGCAATATTTCAATACATCTCCCACCTATAAGAACTAGTTTTAAAGAATATGATGCAAAATACAAATTAAAACTACACAAACATGACAAAAAATATTCCTAGTACAGAACAAATATGGTTGTTGAAAGGGGGAAGTGCATGTTAAAGCATAGAGTGTTGAAAATAAGACAAAGGAATCACTTGTGCTCTAGCTCGTCCGCTCTTATTGCTTGGGGCATTCATAGCAGCCAGCTGTCCTTTTGGTAAATGACGGATCAGCCGTGAATATGCCATCGTCCACAATGTAGAATAAATCTGAAGAGTGCCTCATTACGATGCACACAAGCGCTCGCCTCAAAAGTCACCTAACTGTTGGCCGCCAGTTGTTTGCGAATGGCCACTGCAGTATTTTTGGCCCAAGTCCTTCTATAGTGATGCTCTTTTTGACAACAGGAAGAGTCTAGGTTAAACTTCAAGGTCCTCTATTATGCAAAAGCTCACAAGAGTCAATTTAAGTCGTACTAAAATGTTGTCATATCCTCAAAATCATACCCAAAGTAGTGTTTTGTTTCATTCACACATGTTTGAGTAATTCCTTTATTATTTGTCTGTCTACATCTCTGCAATTTAAAACCCAGTGGAGCTTCCTGTATTACCACAAGACATCAAGGTGGAATAGTAAGTTTTCTCTTTGAATATGCCGGGTCTGTGTTAAACATGTGCGAATGAAACACCATAACAGTTCAGAAAATGGGACAAGATGGGCTTCTTAATGAAAACGGCTTTTAACTATTTTATGATAGTTCTAAGACAGCTGTACAAGTGAGTTTGGAGTCGAAATTCAGTAATTTAGAACTGGCAATGATCAGTTTGGTTGTTTTAAGAGGTCTACAGCCAATCCTCTGAACTGTCAATAAAAGCATGTTTGGAACAGATTTGCAATTAAAATGGGCAGTTTTAAATGGCAATTCAAGTATCATGTTCAATGTAATGTTTCCAAAAAAGGAACTAACCAATACAAAGTAAAAAAATATTGCTTTTCTTTTGCCACATCACTCAGGTGACTCTTCAAATATTAAAAGCATGGTGGTCTTATTAAATAGTTATGATTCACTGCAAAGCAATTACAAATCTAATCATTCAATTGAGGAAGAAAGAGGCTAAATTCTTGAAGATTATCAGTTTGCTGTGTTGAGCTATAAATAGTCACATTATCGATAAAACCTAGTTCTGAAACAACTTCATCCACAAAGCCAAATTATTTTTAGAACTTGATTTATTATCATTTACACAGATAACCGGTTATGGTTTAGCGGCAAGTATTGCAAAGCAGGTGTGTTTTTATTACATTAGAATTGCATCATACAGTCTGCGGTCACCTGCTCAGTGAGTCAGAACTGATAAAAACAAATTAAGGCTACACACACTTGTATTTGTGGCATGTAGAAAGAATGTGGCTTTCTCCTAGTAGTAGAGGAGCATACCTTGGTGATGCCCTGGTGCAGTACATCGTTGTAGACCGTGCCAGTCTCCCAGTTCTTCACCTTCACGAAGCGGGGGCACTTGGAGGGGCTGCCGTTCTGGTGAGACTTTGTGGGCGACATCGTGCCTGGAGCTTGAGCCTGTGCAACACAAAACAAAAAATGTGAATATTTTTTTAGAAAAGCTGGTAGTACACAAGGACTGAGTTTAGAGGTGCACTGTAACTTTTCTGGTGGAGGGTCAGCCACCTGCTTTTCTCCATATAATGTATGGCATGATACTAATCCCTCATCATGGAGACAAGCTTGTGACACCATCAGGTCAAATTATAAAAAAACAGATCTGTGGAGTAAGTACAGTTAAGAATTCATGTTTTTGAGCAATAAAAACACCTGTAAGTGAACAAATGCAACAGACTAGTAAAATTATACTGGCATTCATCTTGGCAAAGCAACGTTTTCATGAGAGGTGACTGATAGCCAGGCAATTTAATTTCTCTCCAGCGACTAGGTCAGGAATCAGAATACACTAGACTGTAAGAACCCTGGAAGTGTGAGTCTGAGCACCAGCCAGTCAGCGAAGAGCCATACATTCTGTGTTGGCAACGATTCCCGAGGATTTAAAACCAGAACAAAGAGAATGTTTGGTGAATTTTATCAAGGGGAAAGACGTTATTGCCCTTCTTCCAATGAGATTTGAAAAAAAGCTTAATATACCAGTGTGGTGGGGTTCTTCCAAAAGACTCAGGCTTAGCCAGGAAATGCTTTTCGGTGGTTTATTGTGCTCTCCAACAGTGCAAAAGGTGCCAAACGTGAGTGGAAAAATATTTACAGTGGTGGTGTGAAAAAAAAAACAAAAAAAACAAAATAAGTTTTTGGTGGACTTCCCCTTTAAGTCCTTCAGCGTTTTCTCGCTCGCTCTCTCACTTACTCACGCTCTCGGTCGCTCGTTCGCTCTGGCTCACTCCACACAAGTTACCTCCACCGTAACCTGGTCGCGACTGGTGACAGAGCTGGAGAGCGCACCTTTATATCCCCGTTTGCCCCTCCCACATTACATAATTCCCCCCCAATAATAGTGATTACGCCGTTTCTACAATTAAACGGCCTACGTTCCTTCGCTTTATTGTTCTATATACGTAATAGCTTGCGCCCAAAATGAAAGGGTTTTGTATATGTGGTCTGTGAGACCGACAATACCTTTAATTGGCCATGCAAATTAATTGTTGCTCACCTGATCCCCTGAACCCGCGCAACGACAGGATTTAAGGTCCCAGCGCGGATGTGTCCGGGTTTGCCAGAACACCCCACGGTAGGAGGGCGAAGGCGGCGGCGCGGGGTAAGTAAATGTATTGTTAAGCGTGCTTTACATGAATTGAATAAGCGCTTCTAAGTGTGCACCCTTAGTCGCGGCACGACACGCAGGAGGTGTTGGGAAATTTTTATTTAGGTTAAAATGGTACGGCAAGCGGTGCGCAAAGCATACGGAAACGGGCGCGCGGGTCTTCACGTGCTCTCCCCAGGGATGGCGTTCTTAGGGACGAGCCTGCTCCGTCACAACCAGTTAGCCCTGTTAGCAGCACATTATATATGTCACAACCAAAGAGCAGAGATTGGTTAAATAAAAAATAAAGTACCCACCTACTGTGAAGCGAACAAATCCTAATGCTGCAAGGTCAGATGGTGGCCACAAAGTTAAATCGGCTGGTGAATCAGGCTAGGTTACGGACCCTCTACCAGAAATGTTACATAGTGCACCTTTACTGCAAGTTTAGATCATTCCAGTGATTTTTTATTTTTTCCTTCAAAAGTGAACATACACACACTACTAACTAATTGCTCTGTTCAAAACCCATGTGCACCCATCTGACTGTTTGAGCTGTATTCCTCACTTGGATAAAGGCAATCAGAATTTAGCAGCAGGCTGAAGGAAAGCCAACACCAGGCAGCCCTGCTCTCCAGCCTCGCGTCTATTGACTCATGAATTCCTGCAATTTCACCCACAGCCGACTGCAAGCATCTGAAAAGCAGAGCAGCTGGTGATTGCCACGATCAGAGTAATCAATCGTACACCTTCAGAGGCCTCGCAGTCATCTCCCTCGGCATTGTTCATCTACAGTGGAGCTGCTTCAGAGCAACAATGAAACAATGGCAGCTTAAATACCCCAGTCACACTGCTCCTGTTGTGGCCTCTCAAACTGCAAAGGACTGTGGTTGGAGACAGTTTGATTTTGTAGATTAAAAAAGGAGCTTCATTCTTAGATCCATGCTCCAGCAGCAGCGCCCCCCCTGCTGTAGGGATCAGGAGCCAAGAACTACTGGGCTCTGCAGATCATAAAATGCAGGAAATTAAAACTTAAATTTGATTGACTTTTATATTTTAATGTATTAGCTACTGTCAATGTAAAATGACTTGTGCGTCACATTTACATAGTACTTTTTTTTCCTTTAAAGATTCAAGAGTACATTAGCTTGTGCAGACAGTGAGGGAGGAGAGTCTTGCTCAAGGACACAGCAGCAGCATCTGGGGGAGCTGGAATCACGCTGCTAACCTGTGGGCCAGTGGATCTGATGGGATTCGAACCACAAACCTTTGTAAATATTACAAACTATACTACTGAAAAGAGCAAAAGTATAAAATCCTAAATATTAAAATTACAAACAAAAAGTCTCAAGCTTCTGTGTGCTACTGCCACTCTTAGATCAGTTATGAAAATTAACTCATTATATTGAAGATTTAAATTAAAAAGGCAAATCCTGTACATCAGCATAATACTGCACCATTAAAATGATTATAATACATTTCATTTTCTCATAAAAATAGCCTTTTAAAACAGCAGGAGAGCAGGTAATAATTAGCACACGTCTGCTTCCTGTCACTCGTCAATCACAAAGCCCAGGCTGAGAAGGTGTGGATGAACAGATGGAGCTGGAAATGAACATAACTGAAGCTAATCTGATCAAGATAATTTCATTGGGGGATGTAATCATCAGAGCCTTCTCTTGTAAACGCAGTTACGTAGTTTAAAAGTTTTCCTTGTCTATCAATTAAAACTTATAATGGGGACTGCAACTGATGAGACACAAACAGGAGGTAAAGGGGAAGTGGGGGAGACTTAATTCATGTGTTAAATGATGTCATTAACTCTTACAGAAGCGATACATTTAATAATTGGTTATAATGAGGGAGAAAGAACTACACTGCTGGCACACAATGTATAAAAAGTAGCTTACTGTGAAAGAATCAGTCTGTTTAAAACATCAAATACAGTCACACAGATTAAGACAGACTATTCATGTGCCTCTTGAAAACATGAAAAATATCTGAAATTTGAATTTGAACTGCAGGTACATGTCAAGTACTTTGTTTACACAAAAATTTTACTTTCTCTTTCTCCAAAATGTGATCAAAGGAACTCTGCTTCAAATGCGCTGCTAAGATTTAAGATCAAGTAAAAATATTCAGGGGATCCAGATAAATTATTCTCATTTTGGGTCAACCAATAATGTCAGCGAGCACCATTGTTAAAATAAACTTCCAAAAGGCTGCCACTTAAATCACAAAGTTTTTATAGTTACACTTAAATACCCCATAAAGTAAATCTTAACTTTTTAATTAGTGGAACTTAAAAATCATTTGTATTAAGTCTATGGTGTCAAGTTAAACAATATTATATTACAACCTGAAATGAATATACAATTGAAGCAAAAAGTAAAATTAAAGTGCTTCTTATGACACTTTCTTATGACACACACATTTCAAAAAGTTTGATTTAATAAAACTGCTCACTTACTGGGAGGATACTAATTTATTAGTTGAAAAGAAAATTAAGGATTTATTATAAATTGTGCTCCTAAAACAGTGTCAAACAGCAAAAAGTCAAATTATTCAACCACCAATATGTTTATACTATAGTCATACTCCAGATTTCAAATTCTACCTGCAAAACCACTACACATTTAGCCTGTTCTCCAAATCCATCACTTTTCTATAGCCCCCCAGTGGGGAGATCTTAAAGTGGCAGCCTGCATATGTAACCACTGAAAAGTCTCCTCCTCCTCTATTCTCAAACACTGTGGCTCTCCCTGCAGGTCTGGGGGCTGGATACTTTCAAGAGGGGCCACGGATCAACAGCTGCGTGCATTCATCTGGCCTCCTGCAACGCTCCGGCTTCTTCCGGACCCATTCATGGAGGAGCCAGTGACGTAGCAAGTGGGTGGATAACATGTGCAGATTATACGCAGACCTGAGAGCAGCGGACCCTCACATGCGAAGAGTTAAGCTGGATTTAAAACTACAGCAGATTTGTGTGTGTCCGGGCCGGAAGAGACTAATACCTTAGGTGATGGGAGCTTTTTCTGTATATGACAAGTCCAGGGTCTGTTTTACAAGCTAAAGTGCGGATTATAGTGCATTAGAAAGTGATAGAGGCATGTGGTGGTATTAAAGGCAACTGCAGACAAACTTCTAGGATTTCTGTGAACTTTCTGTGAATGCATGTAAGCCTGTCACAACAATTTGTTTGTAGACTTAAAATGCTGTATGTTTAATATTTATAGCATTTACTTTTCAGATTTGTAGGCTGTAGTTATTTTGTTGTAAAACAAGATTTGAGCTTTAAGGTTTAATCTATGACCAGTTATAGTTTGTCACTCATCTCCACACATTGGTAAGGTTAATGCATTACTGTGGAATATTCCAGGTAAAGCAACATCCACTGGAAAAGTTAAAGACAAATCATTAATGGCCCAGTGAAATTAGCCTGTGCATTAAAATTTTTAGTTATTTTATTCAAGAAAACAAAGCCAGAGAATTATCATATTGTGGGTTGAATAAATGACATTTATGGCCAGTTCTAGCTTGTCATTTGTTGAAGTCTTTTAATGATACTGTACTTTTAGTTTGCTGGTCTTATCTTGTTATTGAGATGTATCTGTAGCAATACATTCTTCCTTTAAAATGTGTTATGGTGACAGGCCTGTAAGCATGTGCTGGTATTAAACACCCAGAGACAAACTATCATTGCCGTGTAGGTTTAGGTGAGTGCATGCATTAGTTTTACCTTGCTGGGGTCGACGCGACGCTCCAGTGGCATGTTTTCCAGTGCCTCCTGATTCTCTGGCTCCAGCTGTGGGGAAGTTCCATTTCCCACGCCGTTATCCCTGTAAAGAGGCACAGGTCAAGTCAGGTGGTCTGTTCCCATTACGCAAATACGGTTTAAACCTTATGAAAAACACATCCATAAACACAGCTGCGCATTTTTTTCAGCTATTGCCACAAGGAATTACAAACACTGCACAAGATAAAATAATAATAAAAATAAAAAGAGATAAGCTTTTTCTGCCCTTAAAAGTTGGTCTCTAATCTAATAAAGACAAAGTTTAGGCATCCTCAGTAATTCCAATTATGCATTTTCCCCCATAATCAAGCAGTCTTTTATAAACCACCTAAAAAACCTTCATGAACTGCCAAAAATGCCATACATTTGAATGAACAAAGCCCTTAAGTAATTGATTACACTTGTGACCACTACAAATTATTACACAATCACATCACATCAGTGCCTGCTGTGGAGAAAGGGATTCATCTACAGCACAATCAGTAAATTAAAGCATGATGAAATAATGAACAGTTGACTATATAATCAGTGATCACTCATCCCCCCATAGATAACAACCGATAAACTGATACATCTCACTGGGAGCAGTTAACTATGAGATTGAGGGGCTTTGAGAAACAGGGGGAGGGGGACCGCTCTGAACTGCCGCTGTACAAGAGCCGTATGACACATGAACAAATACACAGCAAACTCAATTCCACACCATCTCAAATCTGCAAGCGAAAACACCCACTCGCATCCAGCGCTGTTCACACTCCCTCCCCCGCGCGCACGTGTCCATGCTGATTGTAAATTGTCACAGGCGCCCCTTCTCGCTTTCTCAGTGGGGCTCTGCTTTGGTTCCATTTGCCGGAGCATATTCTACCATAAGGGGCTTTAGACATGCACAAACAATACAAGTTGTGGCTGTGCTTTTTTTAAACCAACATATTATAGCTTCATGTCTGTACAATGTGATTTATTAGCTGATGGTTTAATCTAAGAAAGTGTGTGGTTAACTTTACATGTTAATGCTAAATGTGCATTGTGCAAATTTTCTGGTGAGGAGTCCACCACCTGCTGTCTTCCTGGAGAGATTATTGCTTTGCCTGGAATGTTCCACAGTATGGCATTCTAATCCATCATGAATTTTACCATGGAAAGACACTGAGTGGGGTCACCTCTACACAGATTTGACTTGAAACAGTGCCTTGTGCGATAATATGCTTATTTCCACACATAGGTTAATGCCGTACTGTGGAACATTCCAGGTAAAACAGCAACATCTCAATGGAAGCCAACCATTAGAAAAGTTGTAATTCACCTTTAAGACAAAACATGTGGAATTTGCGTACGCATTTGACCCAATCCTAATGCTGCTGGATCAACGGGATCATTTTGGCCAAGAAAACGTTGCTGATCATCATACGTTCACATCATGTGCATGTGTTAAACTGGTCCAGTGGAGTGTCAAAAACACTCCAAAGTAAATTGTCCTGAGCTTCAGTGTATTTAAGAGTCCTTGGCACATTTGGGGCCCCATTAAGTACAGCGTTTAAGCAAGACTGACTTTTCCTCGACGACAATGAATCACTCAAAGTGCAATTTTCAAAAGAGAGGTCGTTCCCGGATAGGTCAAGAATGAGATATTGATTTAACAATGCTCAATTTGATTTAAAACAGTCAAGAGACCACAACAGATGATAAGTGAGATGCCGATACAAGATTTGAGGGGAAAAAAGTTTTAAAAGTTTAGGATTATCCATTGACACCATCCACCATTCTGGTAATTTATTTTTTACCCCCCAAAAAATCATGAGGAAAAACATTTTTTAAAAGTTTTCCCTTTAGTGAAGTTTGATGCACTATACTCATTAAAAGAGCATTTAAGGTGCAGTATATATTTGTGTGCAATTAGAACAAGCTAGGGGGTCTAAATAGCTCCATAAAAACACACCTTTACTTTCAGAGCAAAAGAAGTACCTTAACATTAACTGGATTAATGAAACATGGCTAATTATGTGGACTACAAATAAATCTAAAGAGGTCCACATTGTTGGCTGGTTCTAAGCTTCAAAGTTGAAGTAAAAAAAAAAACCTAAAAAAAACTTGCAACATAAATCTAGTTCCAGTTCAGTACTGATAATGAGATACTGTTGTGCACCAAAAACAAGGCATTTAAGGGAAGTGACCCAGAGAGTGAAAAGGTGAGAATTTTCAAAATAGATAAAACATTTAGTTTTAAAAAGGGGAAATGTCTTGTCTTTTTCTGTTATTTTAGTCATTCTTTACTTTTAGACTTTGTCAAACTTCATTGACCCATCCAGGATTTTTTTCAGACCATGTTAAGAAAATAAACAAGATGACTTATGTAAATGTGTCTAAACATTTGAAGCATGAAGGTAGCTTTAGTTTCCATTAATCAAGCGTTCATTAATATTGTTGCTGTATGTTGTTGAAATTAGCATTTTGTATTGACAAACAAGTAAACAGTAATTAGCTGGCGCTGTGCTGTGAGTCATTTCAGGTGAGAGAGGAGAGAGGAGGTGCAGTGCTCCTCATGTCAGGAGCAGCTCTGGGCTCAGAATGTGCTCAAGTGGAGATGTAGCTGTTGTTTTCAGAACCAAGGGCCAGGTGCACCTCTCCTGACAGCTGATAACTGGATCTGCACAGCCCTCTGCCTTAATCCTAATTCTCATTCTACCTGAGTCCTCCTGATGGAAACAAAGACACTTGAACTACAAGATCAATGAATTACAATTTACCAGGATACTTGGATCTCCACGTCCTTCCTGGCCACGCTCCTCTGGCCTTCTCCGTTGATCTCTCTTTTGCTGTTCTTGATGAGGCGCAGCACAGGTTCGATTTCCTTGAGGAGCTCGTTCTCCTCCAGGCCATTACAGAGCAGAGCAGCCCGGCCCCCGTCTCTCAGCAGCAGGGGGTCCTGCACTCCTCCTCTCTGAAGGATGGAGTGAGTGATGGAGGGAGAGGACAGGTTCTCGATGGCCCGGAGCTGTGCAGTGCAGTGCTCGTAGGACTTAGACGGGGGTATGGCGGGTCGGGTGACCCTGACTGTGCGCTGGCGCCCGTCTCCAGACAGGGTGGTCTCCAGGTGGGTGGTGTATCCCTCAGGCCCACGCAGGATCAGCACGGCGTGGCTTTCAGGAGACACATTCTTCAGAGTCTCCAGAGCCCTCTCGTATGACAGATCCACCAGGGGCTTGTTGTTTACAGCCAACACGATGTCTCCCACCTGCACCAGGCCACACTCCTCTGCTGCTCCACCCCTGATCAGGTCAGACACAATCACAGGGGGCTTGGAGACCCTCTGCTTCACCAGGAAGCCCAGCCCACCCACCTTCCTCTTGAACAGACGCACAGAGATGATGTTGGGCTGCAGCTGGCAGACTGTGGGCTCGGACTCCTGCATGGTGTCGTCAGAGTGTATTCGTGTGTATGAACGTGTCCCCAGGGAGGTCTCTGAAACACACAAGGGAGGAAATAGGACTTCTATTAGCCTGGGAAATTACCTTGACATGCTCACCGTAGTGTGTGCGTCAGTCATAGAGGGCACATGCATTATTGAAGCACACTTTCTGAAACAATATTAGCTCCACACATCATTAGCTCCTCTTCAGCTACAGGTGCAACAATTACAATGGACAGAAAAATCTATTATACATCAATTAAAACTGCTCTTATGTAGAGATAAACTCCACATTTGCATCTCAATGGATAAATAATGAATCACACTTGGCCACAAAGGCAAATATTGGCTTTGGAGCTTTGGATTACATAGGGCTCTAATTAAAGAGGCAGGTGGCAACAGTCAGGGTGTAAGGTGCAGAACTGTGTTCTGGCAAATAATGTTGCAACCTGCTCTATACTCACTAATAGACACATTTAAAATTATCTTAAATTCTTTATTGTGACAACTAATTCAATATCTGTCTGCAAGCAATTCAATCACCCAGGCATGTCTCTGTTAGATGCCTTTTTAATGAGCCTACAGTTATTAATTATGAGTCATTCTTACCTGTTTAGCTGGTACTGTGATATCTATTAGACATTACAGTGCTCATTTTAATATCACTTCTGTTTAAGTTGTTGCTAAAAACAGGACATGCTGCTAAATAAACAACCCCACATCTTCACATTGAGCCAGTAGCATGCGTACTTTATCCATGGGTTTCAGAAAGATGAAAAATTAGGGACGTTTCCATAGCAATGGACAACTGACAATTTAAAACAAAATATTACATCTTTTGAACTTGGGTAAAAGTCCTCAAAATGTTGCACACATATATACATTTATACTCAGGAATGTGAAACCCATGGATAGTGCATATCTGAAGCGCGTGCATAGTAGAGCGTGGATGTTGTCGTCGAACCTGAGCACGAGCGAACAACCTGTCCCGCGCGGGTTAAAGACTGGAAGCGCGCGGAGGAGAGCTGCTGGAGCCGATCAGCACCAAGGTCAGCTCCGCGCGCAGACCTCGCACTCTGCCCCTGCTTTCTGCGCACTCCACTAAACACTAACAGTCCCCCTTTCTCCTGAGGTCACCGTGAATCTAGGAGATCTGACAACTTCACACTCTTCATCATCATCATCACCATCATCATCGTCGTCATCACTTTTGTTCAGTTCAAAACTTACGAGTAAAGCTTTGTGTCTGAACCAAAGCATAGA